GAGACACAAAGCATAGGTTGTAGGCGCTGAAGAAGAGCACGGGGCCCTGTATGCAGGGAATGATGTACTTGATGGATCAGATATTCAGCTTGGTTGGCAGGGAGAGCTAATCACTTACTGTTTATGACGGGGGACACTTTAGTTGTTAGGAATCTTTAGCTAAGTGGAGTGCTCCAGTGAGAGCAATGAGTTCTGCTTTCTGAGAAGTGGTTTCGTCTGGGAGACGTGCAGCTTCCCAGACCTGATCAAGTGAAACTACAGTGTACGCGGCTTGTCGCTGTCCCTGGGTGTCTACAACAGAACTGTTATCAACAATCAAAGTTAGAGCTGGATCAGGATAGGGCTGATTTAAAAGTTTAGGTCATGGTAGTGTTAGTTCTTTAATCGCTTGTGGGCAGGAGTGACTGCTAGGTTCTGGAGAGTCCAGGAGCTGAGGCAAGAGAGTTGCTGGGTTTAGCGAGGGAGCCTGGCGCAGGCTTATGTTAAGGTTTTTAATTAACATAAGGTGGACTTTTTGTAGGCGGTTGGGAGATAGTAAAGACAGGACTTGATGTGAGAGAAGGTTCTGCAGTTTGTGGGTAGATAACGTCTGGATAGGCTCTGTGTTAGTTTGACAGTTTCTTTAGTAAGGGCGGCAGCTGCCGCCAGAGCCTAGAGGCTCGGCTGCCAGCCTCTGACTGTCAACCTGACTGTTTGGACAGATAAGCTAGTGGACAGTGGGTGGGCTCCAGGGGCTGAGTCAGGACTGCAGCTGCTATGCCCTGCCTTTTATTCGTGTAGAGAAAGGTTTACTAGGGTTTGGTAAATGTAAAGGCGGAGACTGGAGGAGAGTTTGTTAAGACGTTACTTTATTTAATTGGGGAGAGGCTAGAGGGCTAGCAGGGGTAGCTGGTTTGAATTAGTGACCTTGTCTGCTTTGCTGCTTCCCTGTGTTCCGGGGAATATTATTAACTAAGTGTTAGCAGAGAGTTAAAGTTCTGCTGGGAATCGTTTTGGTTGCAAGGCATGAAGGCTGCTGTGCCCACCTGTGGGGAGTTTGATGGTTTAGTTATAAGGGAAAAATTGGGGATCTAGTATAAAGTATTTGTGGGTGGGTGATTGGAGGTTTTTATGACTTAGTATTTATTTAGAGTTAAACTCTGAGTGGTGGTGGTGGGGCACAGGCTTAAACAGATAGCAACGTGACTAGTTAAGTATGTCTTGGAGGGAGAGAGAAAGTAAGAGAGTTGGGCTGTGTCTGCTTTAGAACAGTTTTAGGAGAGCTGCAGGTAGAGGCAAATGAATGCTGACAAGCTGGATTAAGGGGGATGGTAATAAAAGGCATCATTAGAGGTGGGGTGATTAAAGGCTTGGAGGGACGGCCATCAATGCCAATAACCGAGACTGGGGAAGGGGAAGTTGGGCCTGAGAAGGAGGGGAAGACTGAGAAGACAGCTTTCTCGCATCTATCAAAAGGAAACCAACTTACCAGCTGCCCGGATCGCTACCCTGGGCCTGGCATGGGAGTGGGGTGGGGTGGGGTCACTGAGGTTATTGAGTGAGGGGCTTCTCCATCGGTCATCGTCGGTGGCCAGGTTAAGCAGTGTTGATGGCGGTTCAAGGTTTGGAGGTTACTGACCCTCCGTGGCTAGGCGCCGAGGGGCAGTCACTTCTCCACTGGCCCTGCTGACTGCCTGATGGGCAGGGCTTAGTGGGTGGCTGGGGATGTCGGCCATGCTTAGCTCAGTGTACCTCCAGGTTGCATTTGAAGCAAGGTCCTGGCAGTGGGTGGTCAGAGTCACTGTTGAAGTTGCTGCTTCCTGAAATCTTCTGACCCCTCCCTCCAGCCAGTCTCAGGGCGACAATCAAGACTTGGGTGTGCCAGCTTGCCCCTTGGTGGGTTCGGGATTCATGAGCTGCCTCAGCCTGTTCCCTTCGGGCATTAAAACCTTAAATGCCATATTTACCAGGTCACGGTTGGGGGTCTGAGGGCCATCCTCAGCTTTCTTACGTTTCTTTTCAGTATAGTGGCTCATTGCGTTATAAAATGAGTGGCTAGCACAGTAGCCCCCATTGGAGAGGTAGGATCTAGCCTAGTGTACTGGGTTAAGGCTTCAGTGAGGAAAGCTGCTGGGTTTTCACTCGGTTGCTGAGTAATTTCTCGTAGCTTGTCAAAATTAACTGCTTTATGAGAGATAGCTTGTAAGCCCGAGTAAGGTAATGGGTGACTGTGGGGTCTGGGAGGCTGCGGGTGTCGCCTCTGCGAGCAGAGGGAGGTGGTGGTGAGGAGCACCCAGAATATGGAGGAGGCCTTCCTGGGGGTGCAGACAAGGAGTCAAGGTTCAGAGAAAGATGAGGGGGAGTACTGCCTGATTAAGAGTGTTTGGTTAAGAGAACTTGAGCAGGGGGACAGGCAGTCCATAGAGAGGGACGGGAGCGAAGAAAGAAAAAGGCTTGACCATATGGAACCTCAGAACATCTTTGATTCTGGTGACAAAAATTGTTGAGGTCTCAGAGAATGTTGGAATCAAAAGCCCTGGCCAGTGCGACTCATTGTCCAATTGGGATTGTGGCCACACTTGGTTACAGAAAAAGACCAGACCCTTAGGGCGAATATCCGAATATCCGGAGCCAGGCCCAGTTCAGTGAGATTGGTCTGGAGGCATCCCAAGGGACTGTCCCTGGGAGGCTTAGAGAGGGAGCTTTCCATGGTGTCTTAAACTGCAAGGGGTGCGGTCAGAGGAGAAGGACGTCTCCTGGTCCCCTTCCGCACCTGTCAGTCAGGAGGTGGCCTGGTAACCCTGAGAGGTGTCCCGGTCAGAAATAGGGGCCCAGTGGGCTAGTGCTGAACTCCCCAGAACAGGAAGTTCCCTGGTGCAGGCCTGCGGCTTTAACAGGCAGACAGGGACCTTGGATCAGTGACAGTGAAGGACACTGCAGGAAACTAGGGAGGGGGAGGGGTCTGGCTTTGTGGCCAGCTGAATGAAGGGCAGTTGGAGGCCTTGTTCAGGAGGGAGCAAATTTTCGATGAGGTCTGAGAGCAGGCATCTCAGAACTGCTAGGGAGAAGGAGGCAGTAGGTTTTAGAGTAAATCTGAGAGCAGATACCGCAGAACTGCCAGCACGAAACACACAAACAGGTAGAAAAAACTCAGGCAGACTCTGCACTCTAGTCCAGTCAGAAGGTGCAGTGACTGCTGGGTACTCACTTTGTAGATGCAGTGGATGGCAGCTGAGAGGTCCTGGTTCAAGGGAAGGGGGGATGGAAGAGAGGGGTGCCGCACTTGCCCAAAGGTGGGTCGGGGTGCATCAAGACACCTCTTACTCCTCCTGGGTTTCATGCACCAATATGAGAGGCTGAAGATGGAGGACAGGGCTGCACCCCAGCCAGAGGAGAGCCAGGGCAGCACAGAGGCCCCTTCTGTCAGTTCTGGGTTTCGGTACCAAGATGAGAGGTTGGAGACGGAGGTGCAGAACAGAGATAGAATTTAGCCCAGAATGTGAAGTTGAGAAAGATTTTATTGAGACAGGGAAAGAACTCCCTGAAGGGAAGGGAGAGCAGAGAAAGGGACGGGGGCATCTGGAGCCCCCGGGCAGATTCCAAGACCCAATGAGTTAGGTCAGAGAAATTGCGCCCGGCAGTGAGGCAGTGGGACACATGTAGGGCTTGAGCCAAGGACGTATGTACTGATGAGGGGAAGGAGGGCCTTCTGGGGCTGCAGTTGCAGGGTCTGAGTCAGGACGTGGTCTGTGAGTAAGTCCTCCTGGAACGCTGAGGGAAGGGGCTGTACAGACCTGGCCCGGAGAGATAAGCTCCTTGGAATGCTGGAGACAGGGACTGCACAGTCCAGCTCTGGCCTGGAGAGGCAGGGGGGAAGGGGCACACAGTCCAGCAGGCTATCTTTCGGGAGAGCTGGGGGAAGCAGCTGCATGGTCCGGACTTGGCCCAAACAGCATTGAGTTTGTTAATGGTGGTTGTACAATACAAAGAGTATGATCAATGGCAGTGAAATATACATGTAGAAGTTGTTGAATTGGAAAAATGTTTTGTTGTGCATATTTTTACCACAGTTACAAAAATAATCACAGGAAAACCATGAGTACAAGAAGAAGAAAATATTCTAGAGTTGATTGTAGTAATGATTGTGTGACGCTTCTTGATATGATTGAACTATTGAATTGTAGGATATGTGGGTGACATGCCAATAAAACTGATGATCAAAATAAAACAAAATGAAAAAGAAAGAGAAAATAAATCTGTCTTAAAAAAGGACAACCAGAGTGCCCTTAGAAGCAAAGATAGTGAGACTTGTCTCACCTGTTATCAGAAGAAACTACTCGCTGGGAAAGGACACCATCCTTGATGAAGTAGAAAGACAGCAAAAAAAGAGAGAGAATCCTTCCACAGGATGGATTGATACAGTGGCCAAAATAATGGGCTCAAACTTAACAATTGTGCGGATGGTGTAGGACCAGGCTGAGTTCCTATCTTCATAGGGTCACTAGGAGTTAGTGCTGACTTCATGGCACTTTTTTTTTTTTTTTAATGACAACATCTATCTAGTGAAGAATGGAACTCTGGTGACAAAGTGGATTAAGCACTGGGCTGCTAACCAGAAGGTTGGTGGTTCGAACCTACCAGCTGCTCCACAGGAGAAAGATGAGACAGTTTGCTACTGTAAAGATTTATGGGCTTGGAAACCTTATGGGGCAATTCTACTATGCTATGATAAGAACGTCATAATAGTGGGTATGGTATCTAGTAAAATACAAATAATGACAGGACTGTTAAGGGAATGAACTGCAGTGCAAATAAGCTTTGCTAGAAATGAAAGATCTATCAAACTTTCAGGACCTACTCCTGGAGGGAGGCCCAGTGCCCAAGTCCATGAGGAAGCATCTGAAGTTCCGTGGGTAGAGGGAGGTTGGCCTGGACTACAACAAACAAGAGAGCTGGGAGGGACCAGAGAGAAGCTCGGTCTACTTCTCAGATTTACTGGTACTCTGAAATTTTCTTGACAGGTTACAGTTGAAGATTTTGAGATGGTTTGCACAGGGCTATATAAGGCACTGTGTATACGGGAGAAATACATGAAGAAGTCGATTCAGAGATTCCCTAAAACTCCTTCCAAGTACATGCGGAACATTGAGGGCGAGGCTTGGGGAGAAAGCGAGAGTGTCTATCCAGGTAATTCATAATCTTATAGGTGTAGAAAATGTATCTTTAGGTTTAACTACTAAATATAAATGTAAAACATGCTCCTAAATGACAAAGAATCCAGTATAAAAAGTCATAGTCTTCATTGGCTCCATTCTCCTTCCTGCACCACATGCTCGCTCAATCACTTCATTTAGTCTGTAAAATACCTCTCATAATGTCTTCTCTCCTTGCCCTTCTCCAGACCCCTAACTTGACCCTGGATTTCCCCGTGCCTGGATGATTGCAATAGCTCCATGCTGCTAAACTGTCATCTTATTCTCCCTTCAGTTCATCCTCACGTTGATGTGGGGCGTCTTATTAAAACACAGCTCTAAGCTCAACCTTCTCACAAACAACTTAAACTGCTCAAAACCAAAGCCGCAGTCTTTAGGCACAGCATCTAAGCCCTACCACCATCTGGCCTCTAAACTACAGTATGCTTACAATCTTTACTGGTTGGTTGGTTGGTTGGTTTTGACTTGCATTCAACCTATCTCAACATCTGCCACTTCTTCTCCACCTTTGTTCTGTGCAGAACTGTCCCTGCTCTCCATATAAATGGACATTTCCTTGTACCGGCACTGCTCCCATGCTGTTCCCTGTGTTTCACCCTGTTTCCTCATTTACTCTATGTCCAAGTTATACATAATTCTTCAAAGACTACTATTTCTTTTTTTTTTATTTTTTTTAACATTTTATTAGGGGCTCATACAACTGTTATCCCAATCCATACACACTGAAGACTACTATTTCCTGCCTTCCTCTAACCCCGGAGTAAAAGTAAACTCTTTTGACTTCCCATAGTATTTCATTTACATACTTACCTTTTACTTTCTGCCTGTATAAATCTCAGTAGCTATTCCTAATAATAGCACAGCTTTTTTATTACATCACTATCATAATTTAAGCAATTTTTATTTTTAGGAATTTAGGTGGCTGCCCAATAAAAACATATTTCCAAATATCCTTATATAAACATCTTTGTGCAATTATATTATAGTAGCCTTGGGACCAGACTTCTAGAATTGGAATTTCTGGAGAGGCAAATATCTAAGGTTTTTGAACTTCCAAATGGTTATATGAGTAAAGAGGCTCATTCTACAACTCCCTCTTTGTCATTTCTTGTGATATTTAAAATTGTATTATACACATGTCCTGGTTGGCAACTCATTATATTGCTTGACCCATCCTCTTTAATATTTATATTCAAGATGTTCCTTGGTCTCTGTTTCCCCTAAATTATACTTCATCTCTCTAGTGTAATTGAGTATTCAGTGTAGCAACGTACTCTGTTTGACTCCCCGAGTGCCTTCTCTCCCAGTTTTGGAAAGGAAGTGGGCAGACCTTTCCTTTACATGGTGCTCCTGTCACACTCGCCCTGGCTGCTGCTGAGTTGACACTTGCCAACAGGAGACGCTCTGTGTCCTGGGACACAGCAGCTGAAGAGACATGAATGCCACACTGTTAAAGTCAAAGGATGAGTGTTCAAGACTCTGCCAGTGTGGAATTAATTCTTGGCTTCCTCAGGTTGAAACTGTTAGCAGCGGAAAAGAAAAAGAACGTGTACCCACCTAACCCCTTCTGAATTCCTTTAGCAGAAATGAGGTGTTTTAAAAGGTGGGCAGAGTTCTAATGATAATAGGAATGATAAACCCTTATAAGAAGAATTTATTTTCATATGTTCATAGTAAAATCATTCTACATGGAAACTAATCTAGAAGGTTGGTTTAAATAGGGTAAAGACCCATATTTTGTTTTCTAATTGCTGTTTTCGATGAAATTATTTGATAGATTAATAAAATGTGAACAGGAAACCATCAATGTTTCAATTTAATGAACAATTTAATTTAAGTAAATACCACATCAGTTGTAAATATCACAACAATTTCTTATTTGTCAACGGTACTTCTGAAGAACTTGAATACTGTTCTTACACTATGTAAAATATTGTTTGGGCAACTATTTTAAACTACTAGTTTAATCACCTTCAGAGAAGAAGGTTAAAAAAATTCTCTTAACTCTGGATAAATATACGTTACCAAGTAGCGGCAGCTCAGTAACTGGTATTTTATAATAGTATTTCACGTTTTGGTTACTTTTATGTGGTCATTCACCCTATATGTTGACATCTGACTCTCTGTTTTATTGAAAAAGTCTTTACCCCTCCCCCGAAGAAGGGAGAAGACCCCTTCAGAACAGACAACCTCCCGGAAAACCTGGGGTATCACCTCAAAATGAAGGATGGGGTCATGTACATCTACCCTGATGAAGCAGCAGCCAGCAAGGATGAGCCAAAACCACTTTCTTACCCAAATCTGGACCTCTTCTTAGATGATATGAATTTTTTACTTGCTTTAATTGCTCAAGGACCCGTGTAAGTGTTTCATGAAACCTAAGCAACCACAGCACTCATTACTATTAACACAAATGAGACTACCAGCAGTGAGAAAAGCGACATATTACTCGCTGCAATCGCATCACTTCTGACTCACATCCACCCTACAAGACAGAGTAGGCTTCTGAGACTTTGAATCTTTACGGCAAAATAGACAGCTTATCTTTCTCCCAAGGAACAGCTGGTGGGTTCAAACTGCTGATTTTGTGGTTCAAGGTGTAACCCCTGGGGCTCCAAAGGGAACAGTGGGTTGCATGGGCCGGGAATTGAACTTGTACTTTGAGAATTCTGCTACTGAACCATTCATATGCTACCAATGACTCAGTAAGTGCTTTCTAGCTTCACACATGCTGTTAAACATGTTGTGTACATTGTTTATTTTACTCATCACAGTTGCCCTATGTGGTAGGTCTGTTCCAAATGCTAGCTTTATCCGCTGAAAAGTTCAGTTTTGGGTAAATATTGGCCAACGTCACACTGCATGGCAAACTGATATTCAAACCCAAACCTGCTGACTCTTAAGCATTGGGTCCGTACTCTGGAGGGACTGTCCCCACTGGTTTTTAAAATGCCTTCTCACACCGTCCTCATTCTTAAGTCTGACTTTGATAAGAAGCTGAAACCCTGGAGCCCAATACCTTGCAGAAGGATTGGCTGCAGGGTAAACCAAAATGATTGTTCTAATTACTGTTTCCTATGGGTGGTAAGGGTCTTGGGCGGTTTTGAAATGATGATGGTTTCCTGAGATGTCTGGGATTTTAGAAAAGTATGTCATTTTCATCTTCCCAGTAAAACCTATGCCCACCGGCGCCTGAGGTTCCTGTCTTCCAAATTCCACGTCCACCAGATGCTCAATGAGATGGACGAGTTGAAGGAGCTGAAGAACAACCCCCACCGCGATTTCTATAATTGCAGGAAGGTAACAGTTTTAGCTGCTCAGAGGAATTCCTGAGTGAAAACATCATTTCTTGATAAGGACAAAAATAGTAATTTTCTGATCAATCTGAGATTTCTGATGGGAAGCAGATGGATTATGGTCTACATATTATGCCCATAGGAATATGTACCCTATTCTTGACATAAAACAATTATTATCATCAACAGCTAGCACCAAACCAAGCTTCAAAAACTACCTTTCTAGGATATGGAAGTTCTTGTTTCTGGTCTTTTTTTCCCTCCCATCTCCTAACTGTAGGACCTTGGAGAAGTGATTAAATATTTTCAGTTTCCATTTTCTCATTTGTGAAACTGGGGAATGGCTGCTCAGCCCATCACACGTGAGGATTGTGAGTGACTGTGAAAACCAATCAACTGGAAATGCTTTCAACGAGTGGGTTATTTAAGTGATTTTTTTTCTTTAAAAAATGTTTTATTGAGACATTTTAAGATATCAACCCATTCAATAATTCAATGAGGTTAGGAAGAGTTGTGCAATCATCATCACAATCCACGTTAGAGCATTCTCTTCCTTCTTGGATTCATTGCTGTTGACGCCACATATCCCACCAACCTCCCCTTCCCTGACCCTGAAGCAATTCTTAATCCAGCTGCTGTCTCCACAGATCCCCCCATTCTGAGTTCTCTATATAGAAAAACATACAAAACCAAGACAAAAAACAAATACAAACCCACCAACAATGTGCCTGGCACTCCTACACATTTGTTTTTTTATGTGTTTGTGTTTTAAATTATTTTATTGGGAGCTCATACAATTCTTATCACAATCCATACATACATCCATTGTGTCAAGCACATATGTACATTTGTTGCCCTCATCGTTCTCAAAACATTTGCTTTCTACTTGAGCCCTTATTATCAGTTGTCCATTTCCCCCCTCCCTCGCCACTCCCTCCTCCTTCATGAACCCTTCATAATTCATAAATTATTATAGTTTTGTCATAAGTTACACTGTCTGACATCTTCCCCACCACCACCCTCTTCTCTGCTGTCCATCCCCCAGGGAGGAGGCTATATGTAGATTCTTATCATCAGTTCCCCCTTTCTACTCCACATTCCTGTCACCCTCCAGGCCTCGCCCCTCTCACCACTGGTCCTAAAGGAGTCATCTATCCTGGATTCCCTGTGTTTCCAGTTGCTATCTGTACAAGTGTACATCCTCTGGTCTAGCCAGATTTTTAAGGTAGAATTGGGATCATGATAGTGGGGGGTACGCGATTAAAGAACTAGAGGAAAGTTATATGTGTCATCGTTGCTAGCCTGCACCCTGATTGACTCGTCCCCTCCCCACAGCCCTTCAGTAAGGGGGTGTTCAGTTGCCTACTGATGGACTTTGAGTCTCCACTCTGCACTCACCCACCTTTACAATGATATGATTTTTTGTTCTTTGATCCTTTGATCCCTTCGACAGCTCGTGGTCACACATGCTGGTGTGCTTCTTCCATGTGGGCTTTGTTGC